ACACACACACACACACACACACACACACACACACACACACACACACTAACATGTTTATCTAACTTGTCAGAGCCTATAGGATGATTTAAAAAACAATACATAACATCAAACAGCCATCTTCCAACCTGTTCTGCCGCTAGAAATAAGTTACTTTCCCCCCTCTCCTTTCCTCCTGCTCCACAGCAGGAGCTTTCATGTCCGCAGCTATTTATGCAGCACTTGTTCCTGTACAACCTATTGAAGTTTTACCTTTAATCAATTTCTCCTCTTTTATTTTATGCTCCTCTGGTGGCGATAGAATCTCATCATCGCACTCCATAAGCATATCAGCAGCACCTTCTGCTGCTGGGTCCGACTCCATCTCCTTCTACTATTCACCTGCCAAGAAAACAGTCATAACAAAACTTAAAAATAACTCCAAACAATGAATACCCTGGTTCTACATCAAAATTAAACTCATCTATTTACTACTGTATGAAAAGAATGGTATAATATATTTCTAATAGACTTACTGCAGCCCATTGCTGTTAGTCATTATTGTATAAGTGAACTGTTATTGCAATTGTATAATAACTTGCACATTAAAAAACACTTTTTAAAATAATAAAACAATGTTGTAGAGCTCAACATAGGATTAAGGCATGCGATTAAGTTCCCTTCACCTGCATAAATGCCAACCACTGTAAAGAGTTATGTGTAACTAACAAATCCAGACTCTAAATGCTAAAAACATAGCCAACTGAGTTGACACTGAATAAAAGTACAACACAAAGTTAGAGAGGACTGGGACAACAACCATTTCTTAGATCACTAACAATTTACTGCTATACTTTCCTTGGAAAATATGTTTGATTACTTTAGTTTTGTTAAAACCGAATAGGTATTTTTTCTACAAGGAACTAACGTTGGGTTTAAGATATTATTTACCAAAACATTGATTACATAATAAGCAACAAATTAAAAAACATAATTGTTTGAAAACTTGTGTGTGCTAATGTTAAAATATTTATTTAACACAAAAACACACTTAATGCTAATGAACAGAAGTCTTATTTACGTTGAATCGTAACATGTTAGCTGTTAGCTCATAGCTATGCTAATTGCTAGCTAGCGCGCTTTGTCGTGGATCTTGTGACATTTCTTTTATTTTTATATCATTCTGCACTTGATTTAAATAATAGTTAATAACTAAGGCTTATTAAAATTATACTGACTCGTGAGTTGATCTGTTAACGCATCCAAGAGAACCTGGTAAACTTTTACCCACTTAGCTTGTCTATTAGCTAAACGAGCTAGCCTCCTGTTCAAAATGAAGTTAAAATGCCTACACCCGCATTACAGCTACACAGCTAATTAAAGAAAATATCCTCGATACTTATTTTCTGTGCAATTATTCAAACGTGTATAACAAATCAAGGTTCAAATGGTTGCATTACTGTAGAAATGTCGGGCTTTTCCTGCTCGGCACGCACATATGCCCGCACACTCCTCCCTCTTCCTCACACGGTTTAGCTAACAATGCTAACATGTAGCAACTAGCCGAGCAGCTAACTCGTTGACTTTATTAACTCTGCAAAAGATACTCGTTTGAAAAGTATGTCACGTAGGTACTTACCTTCTCCTGGTTCCTAGTGTTACAAATAAATGTTTATTCGGTTAAATTCCCTTGAAAATAATTGCATTCTAGAAAATGATGAATACATGTGCAACCTACAATAACTAAGCTGGCAGGAGCAGCTAGCACCGACAGCACAACACAAGTGAGTCTGTGAACTGCTATATCCTTCCGCCATTGCGGTGCAGACTGGCTGGTTGGTACTAGATTCATGTGGGGCGGAGTGATACATCRGTATGAAGACAGTTTACTGTTAAAGTTATAAAGCTACGTCGGAACATAAATAATCTCAATTTATTTTTGTAAAATTGATCAAAAGCGTGGAATTTGCGCGGCTTAAATGAAGTCTGGATACAACCCTTTTTACTGTGTTTAATGCGGATTAGAAAATCAGAAATATGCACGCTAACCACCTATGCTAACACTTAGCATGCTATTATTTTTAGATGAGTTATCTTACAGATAAACCAATCTGTCCTGTATTACTACAGTCACGTTTTCCTTTTTAAACAACACATCTAAACTGTTTTAATTGTAAGACRAGTTAAAGTTCACCACATATTATTTGTTTTTCTTTTTAGCTGCAAAGTTATACTACTTAAAGACATCAGTTTACCCACACATAGCTTCAAAATKGCAAAAACATCGTTGTCGTTCCAATTATTTTGGTCGTTACAAAAAAATATTATGCACCGCAATTAAAAATGCCTCAGTTTTGTTATTTGGAAACATGTTCGCTTATGTACGGGGCGGGGTAGACGTCGCAAGCAATGTACGTACGACGTGGTGACGTCAGGGACCCGGAAGAGGCTTTCAGTAGTGTTGTCATAAGMGCTCAGCTGATAGTTAACTACAATAAATAGGCAACGAACACGTAATCTTTTCCGACAGAGTTCAGCAATTCTCTTTTACATCTGATTTTGTTTTGTTTGCATTTATCGGAGGTGTCCCACAGCGTCGCCATAATGAACGTGACGCTCCAACGTACATCTCCAAAATGATGGAAAACAGCGGGCCTGGGACGAAGGTTCTGCTCATGGACAAAGAGACGGTGAGACACAGGCGGTGCTGACACTGTTATGTGTGTATTGCATAGGGATAATTAGCTTATATCAAGCTAAACCTTAAAAATAAAATATCTACAATGTATTTGTGAGTCTGGACACTCTCATTGATGATGTCAAGAGTGGCAGAATAAAACTTTTTTTTTGTTTTGTGTCGTTTCAGACCAGTATAGTGAGTGTAGTWTACACCCACTCTGAGATTCTGCAGAAAGAGGTTTACTTGTTCGAACGGATCGACTCTCAGAGACAACATGAAGCACCTGAAGGCCATCTGCTTCCTTCGTCCCACCAAGGTATAAAAGTCTGTCTCCTTCATTTTTGATAAGAGTGGACTTTATAACGATGTGATAAAATCTACTGTATTTATGCATTTCCTGCAGAATAACGTGGAGCACTTGATCCAGGAGCTCAGGAGGCCAAAGTATATGGTCTACTTCATCTGTACGTCACCTCTGTAACTCTGATGGTAAACAGTATGAGAACCATTCACATCAACAATGAACCCACCTCTGTGTGCTCTGTTTGTTTCAGACTTCAGTAACGTGATCAGTAAAAGTGAGATCAAAGCTCTGGCTGAAGCTGATGAACAGGAGGTGGTGGCTGAAGTCCAGGTGAGTCTCAGGTCCTGAATTTTCTGTCTTTCTGCACACATTCGGAGACCGGTATCATCCTGTAACAACAAAACCAGGACCAGATTGATTGACCCAATCAGAAATTAACCCTTTCGTGCATGAATTATGATAAACTCAGTCAGGATTTTTTTACTAATTGTTTTTATACATCCTTAGGGATGTAAAACAAGGTTTGAAATTTTTTTTCCGATCTTTATTTTTTTAAAGAAATAATTATCTGTACACTCAAGTGTACTTCATGTGTTTTGTACTGTAAAAACATAAATGTAACAACATGGTAATTATAAAGGTATAGTTGTAATTTAGTTATACAGATGTAATATGGTATTCTGTTGGAATGGTGGTTCCTCCACTCCTCTGTAGTCCTCGCTATTTCAGCTCTATTGATAAATGTAAAAGTCAACATAAACATAAAATTATGTTTTCACTAGGTGTTTTTATTCATCTTTATGTAAAACAAAGTTAAAAAATAAAGATATATTCTCTCTGAACTGAGGATAGTGAAACACAAGTCACAGGCTGAACTAGGGCTGCACAATATATTGAAAATGTACCGTCATCACAACAACTGCTTGTGCAATATGCATGTTGCAACAAATGCATAAAGTGTTTGCATTTATGAGTTTTGTCACTCAGACAGAAGCTTGAAGTATTTCACCAATCAAATGGAGCTCTTCATATTTTACTCTTTATATTTTTAAAAATTCATACCAGAATGAAAATGATTAGTTTTGTTTCTTTCTTTGTATTTTTGCTCAGAACCCAGAAAACATCAACACTACGCTCATTTATCGCAAGTCATATCGTCATCGCAATATTAAGCACTGTTTTCACACATCGCAGGTTTTCCTGATATCGTGCAGCCCTACTCTGAACTGTAGATCCTCAGAATCTTAACTCTAACTGTTTTTATCACAATTTATTCTTGTTAAGTTTCTGAACTGAGCATATTCTCTCACAGCAATCTCTCTTATCGCATGTATAATATATATACATATTTTTTGGCCAGACAGTGTATAAAGATTTATATATAAAAAATCAAACTACATTATAATAGTTTAAAGTTGATTTACAACCAAAACTGTGTAGGATATTAATTATTTTCAAGAACATTGGTAATAACTGACATTGTATTGAAGTTAAAATGTAGCCAGTGATGCATGATGTACAATTGAGTGGACATGTGTTTAATCTGTATTTTCTACTAATTTAACCTCAAAACTTGGAAAATCTTTACATAATATGTCACCTTACATGTTACTTGATGTCATCATATTTTTTTTTTTACCTGCAATGGTATCTTTTTATGGAAGGTAGAAAATGAAATAGCCGGTGTTTGGTTGTTCTCCCCGTCAGCCATCTTTGTTTCACGGACTATTTTTTTCCCATTGCAATGACCAGCCAATAGGATTTTTTTGTATGGGATGATGTAATAGTTTCCACTAGAGTGGATTATATGCAACACTGCCCCAAATTGCAGGCATACATAAAGAAAAAAAAAATCACTTTTAAACAGCTGTACACTGTAGTGACCTCTATGCACGAAAGTGTTAAGAATCTTTGTTTAATTTAGCCTGAAACAAGCTTTTAGTTTAAGGATGGTATTAAAATGATAAAACTGCTGATCCTGGATCAGATTTTATAACCGAATGAACAAGTTTCCTGTTTGATTCTGAGTTTTCTGATAAAACAAGCNAAAACTGCTGATCCTGGATCAGATTTTATAACCGAATGAACAAGTTTCCTGTTTGATTCTGAGTTTTCTGATAAAACAAGCCGGTAGAAGTTGTCCGTATTGAGTTTGTGTGTTTGTGTTCCTGCAGGAGTTTTATGGAGACTTCATCGCTGTGAATCCTCACCTCTTCTCCCTCAACCTGCAGGGAGTTGCCAGGGTAAGAAAGACGRGAGATTCACTACTTTTGCTTAACATGATAAATATTTATTTATTGGTAAAAACTAACGACAGACTTTGTACCAATTTAGCTGCGCAATATGATCACTGACAGTTAAAAACAAACAATAAAATGCTGTCATTACACTGGTACCTGTCAGTAGTTATGTTTACATGCACAAAATCTTTTGATCGGATTAAAATATATTCAGATTAAATAATCCGAATGTACTGTTTACATGGACACAATCCGATCATAAAAAGTGTTTACATGAGTCCGGACATGCGCAGTGTTGTAAACGTTCAGCTCTACTTCCGTATTACAAACATAAACAAAGCTCCTCTGTGCGCTCAGGACGGACCCGTGTCAGCTTTTAATAACGGTAGAGACGTCGTTACTCGTCTCCTCGGTTGAGCTGCAGCCTGCAGATAAAGCAATACGTGTTTTTATTTTTATTTTTTGCGAAGCAACGTCTGCTGTTTGTTTCCTTTTTCATCTGTTAAGAGAGCGAGGAGGAAAAGTTCTGCACGGTGCAGCGCAGCTGGAGCGCTGCTGTCCCACCGGGTGAATGAAAGTCAGCAGACATGAGCACACAGGTCAGTTTTCTACAATCAGAATAAGATGATCAGATTAAGTGTTTACATGAACCTCATTCAGATTATCAATCGGCATAACCCACCCTTTTCATTCGGATTAAAAATTCATTCGGATCGAGCTCAATTGGATCAGAATAATCCGAACGGTCTGTTTATATGACACACTTTTTTTTCCAAACGACCTTTTATTCCAATTACTTTTGTCCATGTAAATGTAGCTAGTGAGAGATATTTATATACAGTAAGACAGTAAATATGCTGTCTTTGAATCAGATTCAGTTTCTGAAAAAACAGTCAAATGTCAGTATTTGAACAACCTTTTAAAGGGATCCACGATTAGTTGTAACATTACACTTTATTTAATAACATATATTTTAACTGTAAAATAAAGACTGTAAAAATACTGTAGGATGTTTAGTTTTGTACATTTTTAAAAATATATTTTAACACAGACGGAGCCATTTTATTTACATGCAAAGCATTCTGGGTAAATGATGACATCAACTAGGTCCTCGGTGCGAGGCTGCTAGCGAGCTATATCCACCCTGAAGGTTAATCTTGGACAATATCTGATGATCGACTCTTTTAAATGAAACCAGAGAGCGTTGACTGAAAATATGGTTGGAGGACAACAGCTTAGCTTGTCACACTAGCACCGAGCTAATACATATAAGGCAATATAGCATCGACACTAGCGCAAAGACTAACAG